TCCTCGTCTCTTGCGCCCTTCTGGAGAAATGACAGTTTTCGGATTACCGATCAGTCCTCTGTCTCTAGAAAAGGGAAGCGCCCTAAGGACACACTGGGACAGCCCAGTGTGCCCGGAGGTGACTAGCGCTGAGGGGTGGCAGTTGCCGGCACCTGTTCTCCTGCCTAGCTGGCGAGCTGTCCTGCTCCTGCGCCGCCTTCACCCCTGTGCCAGCGGGAGCCACAGGTGCTGGCCTTGCCTCGGAGCCCTGCTGGGTCTTTAGGGCTGAAAGCTGGCTGCCTTCCTGATAGCTTTGTTGCACCCTTCCCCGAGGTAGCCACTTGGTGGCCCTGAGGAAGGTGATCCGATGTTGCTGGGACCGGCAGGGGCCCCGGGCCCGGCCCAGCCCCACGCGCGCACCGCCCAACGCCAGTGCGTCCACTCCCAGGTGAGAGCTGGGAGGGCTCCTCGTGCAGGAGAGCGCGCACGTGGCCGGGGCGGGCCCAGCTGCAGACTCCTACTTCGTTTCCATCCCCTCCGCGGGCTCCGGCCAGCCAGAGCCAGGCACTCGGCTGGCTCTGAGGTGCCTAGTAGCTGGGAGGGCAGTGTTCTGTTGACCCAGCCCCAGTTGCCGCGTTGCCGTGGGGGTGAGAAACTGGCGGAGGGAGAGACAGGTTTGCGGAGAGGCGCTGGTCCCTGGGGCCTCCGCGCCCTTCCCCATCATACACCACAGGCTTCTCCGCACCTCCCGCTTCTTGTCCACTTCCAGGTTGCCTTGGAAAGGCTGTTGAATTGCTGGTGACCCTTTCCATTCAGGTCTCTCAGCACCTGTTGCCTCCAGAGAGCGGGGCCTCCCACCCGGGGTTGGGGGGTTGGTGGTGCTCCCTGCCAGCCCAGGCAGCTGCAGTGGCAGGAATGAGACAAGGAAGCCAAGGCCAAGGGGCAGGGCTACGACTTCGCAGGCAGCCGTGCTGTTTTTAGAGATGGCATTGCCCTGAGCAGCACTTCTCAACTCCTTGGACCGATTCTCTTCTGAAGGCCTGGAGCAGGCTCCCTGTCAGGGCAACACAGTTTTGGAAAGTAGGGCAGGGGCCTAATTGCAGTCAGCTCCAAAGCCCTCCGCCAGTGCCTGGTCTTCCCCGGGCCTCTACGCCTGCGCCTCCGGTAGTTTATTCAAATGAACCGGCTGCTTGGGCGTGTGCCCACCCAGCCTGTGAGGATAGGGTGTGCAGTACTGGATTGCCAGCCTTCCAAAGGCTGGAGAGAAAAGGAGCCCTGTGATCTTCCGGGGTCGCGGTTGGGGAACAGTCCCAGCCAGTTCTTAGGCGACTTCTCTGGAGATGGACTAGCACGGGCTCCCTGCTCCCTGCGCCTCGCCTGCCTCACCCGGTTTTAGCAGCAAGGTTTAATGGTGACGGGGACTGGACCACTGAGCATCACCTGCCCCGTGCTTACCTTTGTTGTGCTTCCCTCCGCCTTGCCACCCTGCTGACGCCTCAGCGTCTTGGTCTTGCACTTTCCTTCTGCGGGGTCAGTCCTCAAAAAGCCTCGCCCCTTCAGTCACATCTGGGACCACTCCCTGTTGCTAAGACTCTTTGTAAAAGACTATAGGGGATGCGTGTGCTTCACGCCTGGGTCAGCTCTACTGTCTGATCTGACTGGGGGCGCTGAGGGCTGGTGTAAGCTGTGTGCACTTGAAGGATGTGAGAGAGAGCAAATGTGTTCCCTTCTTGGGTGGCAGTCAGCTTGGTGAGTGTGGGACACTTGCCTGGCGTTTGGGAGGTCTTAGAGTGAGTGCAGTCCTAGTCTTCAGGGGAATTTTACTTCAGTGAAAGCAGGTTATTATGCTGTCACCGGGAGCCAAAGGATTCGGGTTCCTGGAGTGGGGTGTTGGTGGAGAAGAGGGGCCTGCAGGTGCTCATCTAAGGCTGCGTTTGGATCTGTGGTTATCTGATGTCTGTAGATTTCTACAGCTGGAAGGAACCTTGGAAACTCTCACAGAACTTCCTTATTTCTGCAGATGATGAAATTGGGGTCTGAGAGGGGAAACGACAGGTCTAAAGTCATCCTACAGGCTGGCTATGGAATTGGGGAGAAGTGTAGGTAGCCCTTCATGGAAACTGTCCTGCCTTCTGTCTTCCTGCAGTTAGCAAGGCCTTAGGCCACCACCTTGGAAGCGACTCCCTGCACCCCTCCATTCCAGGCTCTCCTCCCTTCCTGGGCTTCTTTCTGGGCTCATACAGTCACTTCCTCATTGGCCCTGCTAGTTTTCATCTGTCGGGAAATCCTATTCACTATTTAGGGCTTGCCTCAAGTGTCACCTCTTCTGAGAAGCCACAACAGGCCCATTTCCCTCGTTTCTGCTCCCAAGCCTTCAGAGTGCTTCCAGGTGTTCTACCAGGGTGGGAATGTGAGCAAAGGTACCTGCTACACAGAAAGCTCTGAGGTGACAGATCCAACAGGCAAGGCCATTTCTTGAACTTGATTGACTGCCTCACTGCTTGGTATTGGTTTCTATTAGGTTGTCAGGAAAGTCACGACATTTTTATAAAGAATTATTTAACCTTATGTATGTATGTTTTAATTTGACCAGAGAGGGACGGGGCTGGGGAGGGTGGGGGTGGGGAGTGAGAAAACGAGCCAAGGTGGTGACGCTCAGAAAGGTAGGTGAGACAGCAGCAACTGCAGATGGAGTTGGCAGAGCATGAAAAGGGCTGAGAGAGCCCATGAAACACAGAAACTAGGGTTTCGGCTTCCCAGAGGTGACGGAGGTGGTGTGGTGTTGGTCTCATGTAGGGTTTAGCAAGCAGACGGCCCCCTTTCCCTAAATCCCACTCCTACTGAGAGCAGGCCTAGAGAGCAATGACAAGCAGCATATATCCAGAATAAAGGGCTCAGAGATTAGTTACGTGGTGGCGCTCCAGTGATTGATGGATGACTGAGGCTGCTGTCACATTTTAAAGATGGGAAGAGAGGGGCCAGCAGATGGTGAAGTGGTTGCATTGCTGTACTCCCATGTGGTTGATCACAGTTTGAGTCTTGGACCTGGTGGCACGGGCATGCTTGCCCAAGATCCCTGGAGGAGAATGGAAGAGAAGGGATTACTGAGTGTCCATGCCCCAGGGGAGTGGGGTGATTTCTCACTTTCCCTCTCACTATCTTATGTTCATGGTGTTCCTCCCCTCCTCAGCGCACACACCCTAAGGCAAAAAACTTCAAAAAGGAAAAAAGATGGGAACAGAGCCCACAATCTTGCCTGCTGGTACCTTTCAGGGGGCGGAACAGGACTCGTGGGTGAAGCCAGGAGAGGCAGAGTCTGTCTTCGTCCTAGGAACTGCACTCCTTAACAAGCTTCTCTCAGCGGGGGTGGGGAGGGTCCCTGCTCAGCCTGGAGGGTTCTAGATAGAAATTGGGAGCCCCAGGAACATCACAGGTCACTTCGAGCCTGGCTCGCTGAGTCAGTAATCAGTGTGATGGGAAAGCTATTGGCTGATTGATCCATTTGCCAACTTTGTCCCAGACCCTGACCAATGGCCCCAAAGTTATGTGCCTCCTCTGCCACAGGGATGGTCGGGTAAATGAGGATGGTCAGCAGCTGCCTATTCATAGGACACATCAGTAGGTACAAATCAGCCACTTTTAAGTCATTGATGAGGTGTTACCTTTGTCTCTCTGTTTTCCTCTGTGACCTCAGGTAACTCACTTCCCTTTCTGGGTTCTCTATCTTTATTAACCAAGAATGGTTGACTGAGGTAGTCTCAGAGGTTTCTTTCGGCTTTCACCCTGGTAAATGGATAAAACCCCTTGCAGGAATCGCCTGAAGGTCTTTTCCTCATAGTACAAAGTTGATTTGCCTCATCGTTGATGGCTCCTGCTTCTCTTGGCTTGTTTTGGTATGGCCATGAGGGTTGACAGGCAGTCGGGGTCTGGGTGCATGCAAGCGTGATTGTGTGTACTGGCGGTACAAGCTTTAGGAAACAGGCAGAGGATTGGTGCTGAGTCCAGTGACTCAGCTAAACGGCCAAGGAGAGCGGCAGTCTGTTGTTTAGTATCCCCCTGTAGGGCCAGCCACAGTGAGTGACACAGTGATAACAGTGCTCCATGGTGCCGAAGCCACATGAGAGCATACTGGGTTTGTGTCTTTGGGTCTTCCTGTGTACCCTAGGCATACACATGCCTGGATCCTGGCTGACTGCAGCTGGGGGTGGATTATAGTGTGAAGACCCTGCTGTGGGTGACCATTTTTTCCTTCTCTCTCTCTCTATCTCGTTCTCTCTCTCAGAGAAGAAATAAAGTTATTTTATAACCCACTTGGCCAGCCTGTAGCCTAGTGGTTAAGGGAACTGGATCCCGCATGGCTTACTGTGGTTCAAATTCCAGCCCTGACAGCCTCAAAAACAAAAACACCTGGGGTTTGTGTGCCCGACCCAGATCCTGACAGGATGGAGAAGGGATTGTGGTGTAGCCACGCCCCATTGAGGGAGTGCTGCACCACCACCACCCCTGCCCCATCTGTCTGGTGAGCCTGCTAGCAATTTAAGAAACAAAAACAAAACTTGTAGAGTTGGGTAGGGGAGAGCAAGGGAAAGGCTGCACAGTACAATTGCACTTTAGATAAGAGCAGGCCTCTCTTGTGCGTTGAGCCAAGGTGGTAATGACGTGGGATTTGGGTTACCCAGAATGCAGTGTATGTCTTGTTGACCATGGCTGTTCCCCTTTCCACGTGCATCTGAATAAGAGTAAAAAAGCAAGCGACTTTTCTTCTTCAATGCTCTCATAATGCTTTTGGTCTCCAAATCAAGTATGTAGTCTTTTCTCCATGGTGTAGAAGTCCGACTGAGAAGCAATGAGCCTGGGACTGCTCCACAGAAGCATCCCAGGTCCCCTCCCCACAGGAATAGCGGGAATCACACACTAGGCCCCAGTGGGGAGGTGGGTGTGTGAGACAGACTTGATTCTCAAGTCTTGCAGAGACGCCTTTGCCCCTTGTCTGCCTGCGTAGTCCCAGCTGCTGCCTTCGACCCAGGGCCTCGGCTCCTTCTTGCAACCTGCTCACCCAGATCTGACCACAATCTCCCTAGGGGCACAGAATCACATTCGCATCTGGACCCCAGTATAGGGTTTTTCGAGAGAGTGGTGTATCCTCTGAGGAACCACCCAAAGGAATATGACGTGTTCCCTCTGTCACTTTCTGGGACACACCTGGCACAGCAGGTGTGAGGGACACGGGAGCCTAAAATCAAAAGCAGGGGCATTAACTGAAGGCTGTCCCACACTGACTTGCCCTGTCTTGGGGAAGCCAAGCAGTGTCTGGGCTCTGATTCACTGTCTTGCTTTGTGTTCTCACTACCCCACTCCTAACTGGGAGCATCACAGAAGCTCTGCAAGGCTGCCACCTCTGGCTTATAAGAATGTTCTGGAGTGGCGTAGGCGTGGCAACGGTGGGGGGAGGGGTGCTGGTGTTACAGAAGAGCCTGTGGACCATCACCTAGGAGACAAGAATGAGGCCTGGGGAAGATCTTTCAGCATGGCTAGAGGTGCTGAGCAGAGCCTGATCCTCTCCTGTGGCTCTTCCACAGAGCCCAGGCTGGCTCTGTTCCTGCCCCCCCCCACACACACACACACCCACACACGCACACACACCTGCTCTGGCTGGTTGCCCAGGGGAGGTTGGTTGCTGGCAGGGGTGGGGGGAGGCATCTTGTCACACTGGAGGCATCTTGTCACACTGCAGCGGTGGCTATTGTGGCTGCTCAAAGGTGCAGCCATGGGTTCTTGGGAGGAGCACAGCGCCACAGGAAGGGTATCGGGAGTGTCATTCCTTTCAGATGATCGCCTGAGTAGTAGGGGAAGGAAGTCAATACTACGTTCTCAGAAGCCGATGAACTATCTTGGTCGGTGACTTCCTACTGACTAAGAACACCTTGCTGAGAAGCAGAGTGATCACAGCCATGCGTGGGCTAAGGCTGAGGACTGGAGAGAGGGCTTGGCTAGAGTGGTCAGAGGCAGGGGGGCTGTCATGCTCTTCAGTTAGGGCCTAGCCAGTGCTGCCTCAGCCCCTGCCCTGGCTGGGTGAGAGAAGAGAAATGGAGGTTGGTCTGGGAGCTCCCGGGGTCTGACTTTTGTCTCCTTTTGTTCCCCAGCCACCAACCAGTGGTTCATCCCAGCCGTGAGAGGGGACATCCCTCCTGGGTGTGCAGCCTATGGCTTTGTGTGCGATGGGACCCGCCTGCTGGTGTTTGGTGGGATGGTGGAGTATGGGAAATACAGCAACGACCTCTACGAGCTCCAGGTAACAGAGCAGAGAGCCCCCGAGAGCAGCCTCCTCGCCCCGCATGACCCCCGCGTAAGTGCTTCTACCGGTGGGGGGGGGGGGGCTCGGGTCTGCCAAACCCC